CTTGTAACTACTACTTTTTCCAATAATCACTACATACTTTGTAAAATTGTTATTAACTAATAAGTCTATAATATCATTTTGCATAAGTAACTACATACTCTGTAAGATATTATTTACTAAAAAGTCTATACTTTTTATAACTTGTTAGTATAAGTATAAAAAATGTCATACTATGCTGTTTCTATGCAAATTCTAGTTTTCAAATACAAATTCAAGTACTCTATGCAAATTCTATGCAGTTTTAAAAATTTTATTCTATTTGAATAAAATAAGATTTTTTAACTTCAACATTTCATTATATATATAACCACAAAAAAAAGTTCTTGAAGAAAAAGCAAAATTTTATAAAATTTCCAAAATAATCATCATTTTATAAAAAAATTATTATTTTAAATTTCACTGCCTAAAAAATTTTAAATAAAAATAAAAATATGCATTTAAAAAAAAAATTTTATTAATTTTTTTTTTTCAATGTTTTTTATAAAATGATGATTATTTTTGAAATTTATTTATAACTTTGCTTCTTTCGAGACCCAACATGATATACTTTTAAAAAAAGATGATGATATTCAGGGAAAAAACTAGACAAATAAAAGTTTTTAAAGCATGCAGGGACAGATAAAAGATTGAGAGAAAAAGGATGAGACTTTGCTGAATGATGAGTCAAGCAAGAATGAGTTTTGGTTGACGAAACAAGAAAAAGAGAGAGAGAGAGAGAAGCGACCTTGCAGATGCTAATTTAGCAATTGATTGTATATATGGTTTCCATGAGAAGTCAGTAAGTAAAGAAGGACTCAGAGAGTTGCCATTAATTAATATAGGAATATTGACAGTATTGTGATAGTTGTTTGTAGTAAATAACTGAACTTTTTTAGAGTTAAAATTCACAAGTCGCTGCAAGCCCCAATCTGTTACAAAAGTGAAATCAGATTCAACTGCCTGTTCTAAGCAAATGAAAAGAGAAGACCTTTTGTCAAGACAGGAGTATAAAAGTTGAGTTGTCAGCAAATAGAGCCACACTAAATGTAAAGCTGTCAGGAAAATTATTAATGTCGATATGAAATAAAATAACCTCCAGAAGTTATTGGAAATGAACAAGTGTTGGCTTTTGAGGATAACTTTAGTAAAGCGGTTAGAAATAAATGATTTGATCTTAAAAACTTTTCCAGATACACCATATGAAGCAAGCTTATGAAGAAGACCAGTATGCAAACTATATTGAAAGCTTTAGAAATGTCAAGAGCAATAGCTAATGCATGATTTATAAAATCTTTTAGTCGTAGCAGTTAACCCATAGAACAAGAAGATCGAAAACTGGATCGATTGTCTGACAGTAAGTTATTTGACTCAAAATGAAATATTGGAAATTTCAAAAACTGAGAAGCTTTTAATTCAATAATTTAAGAACAATGTCCAAAAGATGTGTATGTGAGGGAAACTGCTTTGGAGAATTTATCAATTTCAATGAAAGATTAGCTTGTATACTAAATGTTTATTTAGAACTTAGTAATAATCCTGGTAAAAACTGTTGCAATCAAAAACTTTTAAAAAATCAAAAATATAGAAAAAAATTGACTAATAAATTAAAACAATGTCAGAGACAAATTAAATCAAAATAAAAAGGTTAAACAGATCAAGATGAAAAAAGAGATGGAATAAGTTATGATGCTGGGAGTTTTTAGTAGTTTCAGTTAAATACAATCTTTCAATTGATTTTTTTTTTATTAAAGTTAGCAAAACATAAATTTGGTAACCATAACTTTTGCATATATTATAATACTTATTTTTAATTTGGATTTTTTTTAATAGTTAAAAACTTATTAAAAAATGTATTAGACTATTGCTAATACAAACCTTTAGAAATAAAATAAAGGTTAATTTTCATATTTTAACTTTTTTTGTTTAACGTTAATTATCTTGAATTGCTTTTTTATCAGAATTCTATTTTTTTTTAGCAGAGTTATCGTGTTCTAAAAATGAGCTGTTTTGGAGTAAATTTTGGCACATTGGTTATTAATGCTGTAACTCCTTTATGTTTTATGCTAACTTTTGATTTTGCTTCAATAAATACCTTATTATATTTTAAATAAACACTAAAAGTTTGAGCTTTATAGGATCTACCCTTTTTATGCCATTTTATAGGATCTTTTTTATGGTTCGCAAAACTAGAGATCACGTAACTTTTTTTCTATTTTTCTTTAAAGCAATTTATTAACACCACCTGAAAAAAATCAATATTATTTGTTAAAAATAAATGATTTTAGAATTGCCACCATACTCTACCACTCTACCAATTCATTATAACTATTAAATAGTTATTAAATAGTTGTTATTAATTTTTTTGTAATTATAATTCATTTATCACATGTAGTAAATAATACTCTAAAAGCAGTTTTAATTGAACTAGATTAAAAATCATTAAAAACTCATGCAAATTTCAAACACTTAAATTAATTTGTAACTCCTTCAGTATAGTGCTTATAATAATTGCAAAGACTAACAAATGAAAAATTATTTCTTTACACTTTTAACTAAAAATGTAAACAAATGATTTTTCAATTGTTCATAATTTAAATCAAACTCAAATTTAAATCAAAAGTAAGGCAAACACTGCGAAATGTTTTTGAATATCAAATAGTTATGAAAAAGTAAATGAACATACACTTTCTGTAAGCTACGCAAGTATTACAAAAGTTTTGCGAATCCGCACCTAGATATTCAAATTTTTCCATTTGTCTTTAATATTGATTCAGTCATAAATTTTGAATGGATTAGTCAATTAAATAGAAATGTTCAGGTGTTTTTTTTCTCCATAAAATTTATAGGTTGTCAAAATTTGAAAACTTGGTGATTTCATATGGTGATTATCACACCCAGTTGTTCCATATGAAGTTTAAAAACATTGGTGACATAACTTGTGATAACCAGCGTTATGTGATGTTAAATATTTTATGGCATATTAACCCTGACTAAAAAAAGGACTTTTTCAAAACCCGGCCACGGCAAAGAAAAAATTTATAATATTTTATATATTATCAACTTATGCAAAAATTTACTAATTATTAAATATTGCCATATATATATTTATATATCTATTAAATTATTTCACTTCCAATGAGGTTACAAACAACCACTATTTAGTTATCTAGAATATTCAGTTATCAGTTACTAGAAAACAAAAGAAGTTTTAAATCTTAAACAGAGATTAGAACAATTTTGTATCAAACATTTGTAAGAGAAGATTAAAGTGCTTTGTGTATCAGCATATAGAAAGGTAGTTGCTGAAGCAGCTACCTCTCTACATGCTGATAAAATGTGGATGCTGAAAAAATGGTAGATGCAGAAGTAAGAAAATTTAGAGAAAGTGCATTATATATGGTATGATAAACTTTAGTTAAGGAGAGAAAATGATTAGAATTGTTTATATTAGAGAAACAACGTAAAAAGTAAAGGCTAAAGCTTGATGATGATTATGTTGATCATGTTAACCTATAATTATACGTGTATATATAAACAAAATATAACATGAATTTTGAATAATTTAAGATGTAGCAATGTTTATGCAGCCACACAAACCCAGTCCTAGCCTTGTATATTTTTTATCGCACCCATTAAAATTTGACTGGGTCCAGCTCCAGTCAAATTTCTACTAAATTCACATATTATAAGATAGTTTACTACGCTATAAAATATTTTATATAGACATTTACACTTTCGGCAAAATCATAATACCACAACAATATTTTCAAAAATTCATAAAATTTTTTTATTTTTTTAATCCAGAAATGTATTATTTTCAATACTTTAAAGCCCTATTTTAAATACAGATATTTAAAATTTTCTACCATAAATATCAGGGATAGTATCACATATTTCTAAATGCTTTATGAACTTCATGATTTCTTTGGTTTTTAGATGTATTAGCAGAAATAGTTTTTTTGGTAAGATAAGAATTATAAATTTAAGTTATAAGCCAAGACAGATACATGTTGCTTTTGAGAATGTTAAAAAAAAATTAATAATGTAATAATAAAAACCAAGTTCAGTATTACTAATTTAGGATCTATAAATTAAGCATTTATTTTAGGAAGGTATGACATTTGTATGCGCAGGATGTAATTCCTGTTATATAGGTGAAACTTCTCGCTACCTCAAAATATGAATGACTAAACACTACAAGAGAGACAAAAACTCAGACATATACAAACATCTTCATGCTTACAATAATTGTTTTGATAACTATAATAATGACTGTTTTTCAATTTTAGATTCTGCTTCCAATAAACTCAAGCCTAAAGTTAAGGAAATTTTTTCCATTAAGCGGAAAAATCCAGATTTGATATTTCTTTTTACATAATAATTACCACTTTATAAGTCATTAACCTATTATTAAAAATTTTATATTTAATTTTTCTTGTATTTTTTGTTATTGCCTATTTTTTCATGATTAATAAAAAATTATAATTTATATTTTACTACCATTGAATATTTGTATTTAAATATACAATTGAATATTTGTATTAGAATATAAAATTAATTAAAAGTTTTTTAAACCCAATTGAAGATGACTATAAATTAGTCGAAACATGTATTGTTGTTTTATTTGTTAAAAAATATGGTTTTCATAAATAAGTGGAAAAAATTGGTCTTATTTCTGAATTATTTTACATATATGTACATATGCATACATACATGCATACATATATATATATATGTATATATATATATATATATATATATATATATATATATATATATATATATATATATATATATATATATATATATATATATATATATATACACACACACACACACATATATGCATATATACACACACACACACACACACAGATATATATATATATATATATATATATATATATATATATATATATATATATATATATATATATATATATATATATATATATATATATATATATATATATATACGTATAAACAACCTAAAATATTTGTCCTACATATTTATAACTTACTGCAAATGTTTCATCGTCACTAATGCCATCACTATCATCTTCCTCAGATGAAGATGACAAACTTGGTGGTGAGGGAATGGCCATATTTCGCAGTTGTGAGCCTATAGTCAGAGTCGATGCGTTCATCACTGAACTGCTTGATAAAATAATATCTTTACTCATAATTAATCGAATATTTCTTTAATAACAAATTTTCATCGAGCCGTTGAGTTACCAAAAAAATCATTTACAGATATTTACATCGTTACTAGTGATGTAATTTTTTCCTCCGACAAGCGAAATCTTTATTATTTTTGTTCCAGATAAACACGAGGGTATAAACCCAGGGTATTGAAAATCGCGCAACATAATATCTTACGGCAGACTGGGGAAAGTTTACATGTTACGTTATGAAAGCAAGAGCACCTGCCTTTGCTCACATGCTATTGATACCGAACATTAAGTGCTATAATTAAAAGAACTGTAGTATCCTAAATTTAAGACAATATAAAATTATAATGAAAAAATATTCACTGAAAAAGAAAAATAACATGCTTAGTATACATAGTATTACACGCTATAATTGATTTTAAACATCTCTTTTTTTTTCAAATTAAAAAAATATTTTAAACGGCTATAACAAGTAAGAAATAAAATTCACACAATTATTTGTGACAACTAAAACAGTTAAGAGTATTTCTGCAAGAGTCAAAATAATCTTTTTTTTATATATATTTATTTTATCATTATTATTTTTAATGCGGTCACCTTAGGGTTTTTAAAAACAACAATAAAAAACATTCTTAATCAAACCATCTTGAATACTTCAACTTTGGTGGGATACAGTCTTACCACATAGCACCACCGAAGAGCATTTATCTAGGGAGTTCACGCGTTCTTCCTTACCAACGACGCCTATATATATGATGCATTATCACACATTTTTCTGGAAATTTGAGGGAGATTGTGAACAAGGCACAACAGCTAACGTTTTGCTGGAGGTCCAGGATGATCCAAAGATAAGCCTGCGCACCAAAGTAATACTTTTTGCTATGAAGCAATTGTTGAAACATTTAAAATGCTAATGTAAATACAAAAACTAAAGAATAACTTCATTTTTTGAAAGTTTTGTAGAATCAGTATAAAATAATCCTATGTTTGTATCAAATTCATTTTATGATTTTTTGATACCTACTGATAAAAATATTTGCTCTGAAGAATTATCTGCCGAACTACCATTTGATGAGTTTGAAAAAGCTTTCAAGTCTTTAAAAAAAAATAAAGCACCTGGTGCAGATGAAATAAACGGAAATATTGTTATAGATTGCTAGGAACAATGAAAAAATATTCTTTTTAAAATTTTCAGAGCATCTATCCATCAAGGTATTTTTCCTGAACGTTTAAAACTTGCCAGGGTTACCTCTATCCATAAAAAAGGCGACAGATCCAATATCAGTAATTATCGCCCCATCTCTGTTCTTTCTATATTTTCTAAAATTTTAGAAAGAATTATCTTCAATAGGGTATACAATTATTTTAATTACTATAACTTACTTCATAACAATCAGTATGGTTTCAGAAAAGGGAGTTCAACTGAACATGCCATTATTCAATTTATTCATAACATCTTTAAATCTTTTGAAAAATCCCAATATACACTAGGTGTTTTTATTGACCTATCAAAAGCTTTTGATACGGTCGATCATTACATTTTAATCCAAAAAATTAAACATATGGTTTAAACAGTAAAATCTTAAAATGGCTTGAAAGCTATTTAACAAATCGAAAACAACTTGTTTATAGTATTGATGGTCAGCAAAGTGTACCCCTGAGCATAACCTGTGGTGTTCCACAAGGTTCTATTCTCGGACCACTACTATTTTTAATCTATGTAAACGACTTAAACAAAGCTTCCAAATTGAAAAGTATAATGTTCGCTGATGATACTAATCTTTTCTTATCCTATACTAATATTTATGAACTCTTTTCAACTACAAACAAAGAACTAAATCACATTTCTAATTGGTTCAAAGTTAATAAATTAACTTTAAATATTAACAAAACAAAATGGATTATCTTTCACTTTTTCTTTTCACAAATTCTTAGGTGTTTACCTTGATGAGAATATTACTTGGAGAAAACATATTGATCATATAAGCACAAAAATTTCCAAAAATATTGGCATTTTATACAAAGCCCGAAATTATCTAAACAAAAAAACTTAACCCAACTCTATTATTCATTTATACATAATTATATAAATTATGTAATCATCGCCTGGGGAAGTACGGATAAAAGTAAATTACAACATCTTTATCGCCGTCAGAAACATGCAATCCGCGTAGTTAATTATGCGGATCGCTTTTCACATTCACATTATTTTTTTGATTATATGAAGGTTCTAGATGTTTATAAACTGAACATATTTAATGTATTATGTTTTACTTTTATATGGAAAAACGATTTATCTTTATTTGTTTTTAACGACCTTTTTTTCTTTAAAACCAATAAATAAATACACATTTAAGAAATAATAGTTTTTTAAATGAACCTTTTTTGTAGAACTAAGTTCAATCAATTTTGTATTGCATATCGTGCACCCCATCTTTGGAATAAAATAGTATTACCAAATTTTGATCTTTCTATTACTCCTCCTGTCTTTAAAATTAAGTTAAAAAAATTCATTCTCTCTATGGGCAACATTCTAAAATTCTATTAAAAATGTATGTGAAATGTATATCTTAAGTCTTCAACTTATTATATATTAAAATGTGTTGTATCTTTGCATAATGTAAATACGTTAAATTTTCTATATACATATATATATATATATATATATATATATATATATATATATATATATATATATATATATATATATATATATATATATATATATATATATATATATATATATATATATATATATATATATATATATATAAATATATATATATATATATATATATATATATAAATATATATATATATATATATATATATATATATATATATATATATATATATATATTTATATATATATATATATATATATATATTTATATATATATATATATATATATATTTATATATATATATATATATATATATATATATATATATTATATATATATATAAATATATATATATATATATATATATATATTTATATATATATATATATATATATATATATATATATATATATATATATATATATATATATATATATATATATATATATATATATATATATATATATATATATATGTTAAGGTTCCGATGTTAAAATCCTTATTAAGGTTCCGATGTTAAGATCTTTATGATCTTCTTTCGGAAAGTTTTATATGTTAGTACGACTTAAATGTATTACGACTTATGTTTATGTATTACAACTTATAAATTTTGTGACACGACTAATATTGTAAACTGAAAAAAACATTTTATATATATTATAAACTTAGCTTCTCCATTTGAATGAGTTTTTTTTTTTTTTTCAGTTTACTTAATATTAAGATATACAATCAGGGCCGCTAAGAGCTTTTATGGCGCCCGGGGCATAGCGTCGAGTAGGCGCCCCTTTAAAGATACATTGTTTTAAAAAAAAACTTTATCAAATGCAATCTTGCATATATATGAGTGCACATGGTTTTAAAATGAATTTTCAAATATTGCGTCTATACAACATAAATGCATTATTTGACATTTTTTAGAAATTTAAATAAGAAAAAACAGCTTATATAAAACACTCTTTTCTTGCTTTTTTACCGGCAATTATATTATCATATGACAAAGTCTTGAGTAACTCATTTTCCACTGAAAGCATCATGAGATCCGAAATGCGTTCTTGTCCCATAGTGGCCCTACAATAATTCTTTATCAATTTAAGTTTACTTAAGGATCGCTCACCCTCTGCAACAGATACTGGCATTGTATTAAAAGTTCAAATTAAAATGCATACATATGGAAAAATAGGTTGCAGACTCTTTGAATGTATTTGAGAAGTCTCAATGAGTTTCCAGGAATAAAAAACGAAGACTCCTTCAAACGATTAAGATACAAAATTTCTTGTATGAAGTTGTCTTCTTTGACATTATTAGCGTAGAACTGTGCTAATTTACGAGCTTTTATCTCTTGAAAATCTGGTTCTTGGTCTTTCAACCAGATGAATGAGAACCTTGAGGAAACACTCTTTACTATGTCAAATCTTGACTGAACTTGATAAATAAAATGATCAAGAGCAACGTTGAAGATGTTTACCTCAAATTGATGCTCGGGGCTCTCATAGCAGAAAGCTGCATTTGCAAGTTCATCGTGATACCGTTTCGCTCTCTTCTTTCGTTTTGTCAAAAATTTCGTTTCAAAGCCTAGAGGACCTGCAACAGCTTTTACTTCAGTCAAAATATTATTCCATGATGAGCGGATACGGCTAAGATCGCTTATTAGCTGTTAAATTAAAATAACTTCGTCATCTACTGTTAGTGAAGTTGACTGGAACAAACGGCTTACTTCATCTGCTACTTGAAGAACTTTATAACAAAAGGTCAGAATTACAACAGTTTCAAAGGATTTAAAACTTTATCAAAGACTTGCTTGATTTAACATGTCAGCAGTAAGGTCAAGATCCTCTATAGTACGATTAAGGGCAGTAATTATTTCCCGTGGTCGTTTTACTATTGGCTTAACAGCGGCAATCCGAACTGACCACCTGGTATCGGAAAGCTTGTGAAGAGAGATTCCAGTCAATTCTTGCAAAACCTTCCACCTAGCCGGACTGCAGCTGAAAAACACATAGAGAGCTTGGATATTACCAAAGAAAGTCTTTATCTTAGCACAAGGTTCAACTGCATGTACTCCAGCTAAATTAAGACTATGGACACCATAATGAATATAGAGAGCTAACGGGTTTTTCTGTAAAATTAAAGCTTGTGTTCCAACGTAAATTCCAGCCATATTTGAGCCATATTGTCGTAACCTTGGCCACGGCATTTCTGCAAGTCAAGACTTATTTTTATTAAAACATCACAAAATAGTTTTGCAATACTCACTCCTTTTTTCTCTTCATGTCTTCAACGCAAAGAAAGCGCTCTTTTACCTCCCAGCTTTTTTTGTTGAAGCTGAAATGAACAAAGCAAAAAATAAAAGTGATCTGTTCAATGTGTGAAACGTCTGGGGTTCCATCGATAATGACTGTAAAGTATCCAATTTCTCTCACTCCCTTTAAAAGGGCACACTGAACCAATGAAGTACACTCATGTATGAACTCATTCTGTGATTACCATGAGAGGTAGTGTGCCTGCATTCGAGTTCCCTCTTTTTGGTGACAAGCTAGGTTTTCTATATGGTTTTTTTAACGTTTTGTTGTGGTTTGAAATCATGTCTATAGCTTCTAGAAAATTGCCACTTTCTTGCTCTCCAAGAGCAGATGTTTGACCTGTTAATAACACAAGAATCTGCAAAAAATATTGTTTATACAATAAATATCAATAGCTAAGTAAAAATAAAGTTTACCTCTAAACGCCATGTTTCGTGATGAGAGAAACAATGTAACATCCAAAACACAGTACAATATTTCACGCCACCTCGCTACCTCAGGCTCTAAAGTTTGTTTGATTGCCGTACCTTTTTTACTATTTTCGAACATTTTTTTCTTTTAGCTTGTGCTATGTTTTTATTTGTTTTTGTTATTTTAATCTATACTTATTTAAGTCTTTTAACCTTATTTTACATTTACTTTTTATCAATTTTTATATCTAGAAAATAATTTTTTAATTTATTCTTTTTTTTTTCTTTCTTTTCTTTTCTTATTTTACCTTTAAATAAGCAGATTTGACATTTGAGATGGAATTGCATAGATTGACATTGAAATATGCACGTTAATACATTCGTTAGATTTATTGCCGAAATGTAATATGGAGTCACATTCATAATATGCATATATACAAAAAAAGTTCTCTCTGAAAGCAAACTCACTGCACTAAACATAATAACCGTAAACATGAAAACCGAAATTGTAAATTAAATAAACTTTTTATTTATTTCATGAAATTATACTATAAAAACATAAAATAAAATCACAAAACATTTAAATTAAAAGTTAAACATCGTGTAAAAAATTATCATTTTTTGGCGCCCCTATAATCTTGACGCCCGGGGCACGTATGCCCCCTTTGCCCCCCCCCCCTCTGCCTCCGTCTCGGCCTCTTAATTTAATTAATATTATTAATTTATAACAAGCAATTTTTTCTCAACAAATAGTTTTTACTTTCAATCTATTACAACTAAGAATCTATACTTCTTGTGCAACACAGCGTAATAACCTTTTAAAGTTTAACTTAAAAGTTAAAAGACAAAAATTGGTATACAGAATTACCGAGAATGCTCTTGAGACAAAAATTAAAATTACCATTTCTTTATTATGCATAAACGGTGCTATTTCTTTTTTTTAACAATTAATAGTAGGTTATTAGCCTAACTAACTCTAACTCACCCATCATTACTATTTTAAACAAATCATTTTAAAGATATATAAAAAAAAGTTTAATTTTTTTTTTCGTCTCCTTTTTAATCAATTAACTTTATGAGAAATTTACATAATCCAAGTGAAACCTAAGTTACTTTAACGCTAATAAGGTTAACCGTCCCCGAAAACCAAATGAGTGGTTTGCGAGGCCCTAAGTTTTTAAATGTGTTGCCCAAAAAAATTATATTTATAACGATGATAATAATAAAAATGTTATGTACCCTTACTATTATTATAAAATAATAACAATATGTGATTATAAATAAGATAGTAAATAAAATTCCATAGCTTGTATTTATTATATAATTTATATAATTATATAATATATTCATTATATAAACTTTATATTATATACATACATACATACATACATACATACATACATACATACATACATACATACATACATACATACATACATACATACATACATACATACATACATACATATGTATTTGTGTTTATAGCTAGATTTATTTAATACATTTAATGTTGTTAAAAAATATACACGAGGGTTTAGCTGTTCCCCAACAATTTTGCAATTGTTTTACTGTTAAAGGAGATTATTTTTTTTATCATTATTATGTTGATGGTGCAAATGATATTGGTTGGGGATGTGGTTATCGATCATTGCAAACAATTGTTTCATGGATTATTTGTAATGAGTTGCATCAAGGTTTAGGTGGAGTACCATCAATACAATGTATTCAAAGTAAACTTGTTGAAATTGGGGATAAGCATGAGTCATTTATCGGATCAAAAGAATGGATTGGTACTTATGAAGCTTTCCTTATCATAGACACTTTGTATAAAATATCATGCAAAATTTTACATGTTTCATGTGGCAAAGAACTTTACAAAGTGATTGAGATTTTAAAAGATCATTTTCAAAACACTGGATCACCAATAATGATGGGAGGAGACATAGATTGTGGCTCTAAAACAATATTAGGTATTTGCCATAAAGAAGATGACTGGTGGCTTCTTGTTCTTGATCCACATTTTTCTAAAATGAAAGTCTATAATAAGAAACAACTGCAAGATGAAAGTTGCGTTTATTGGAAACACTTAAGTACATTTGATGATAGTTCTTTTTATAATTTTTGTATTCCTCTTAGTTTAAATCAATAAGAATTAGAAGTAATTGTTCTTTAAATTCATAATTAAAATTATATTTGCTGAAAAGTATTATTACTAAAGATATTTTATTTTTTATATTTCACATTAGTATGTATTTATGTTTTGTAAATATCAGAATATATGTGGTATTATAATGTTTTCATTAGTTAGAGGTTTTTTTTTCAAGAATTCAAGTTTTTTTTTTTTTTTTACTTTTTAACTAGGCTTTATATTATTTTTTTTATCTAGTTATAACCAACCCAAAATAAGAGATTTAAAAAGTTCATTTTGATGAAGTTTCTATTCTAATGATTTTAGTATATGTTTGTGAAAGTTAAATCTTAAAAAAAAACAGGTGTTTAATAAAAAAGCTCTTCTCCATTTCTTTTCTTAAAGTAATTTGTATATAATTATGTATTTTTCTTTGATGCTATTGGAATAAAATTTAGGCAAACATTTGGACAGAACTTTATTAGTATTAAAATGAGCCATATGAGATGAGTCAATTTATTCCTAATTTTGACTGTTGTTATAGCCTGTTGACACGTAAGATATAACTGCTGATATATATTGTAAGTTATGGTTTTATTCTGCTTCTTTTATTACTCTGTGTCATTAATAAACTTTTGTTCTTAAACAATATATATTTTAAAAAAGTATTTCTTTTTTAGTTACTTCCAAGATTCTTGATTTTTTTTCTTTGTGGGTTATACCTATCTGTAAAAAGTTAAATTATAACAACTTTTGAATCAAGAGAAATATCAATTTCTTTTGAGATTTTTTAAAATAAAATAAAAATCAAATTCTTTTGAGATTTTAAGATAAGATATTAAAATAGCCTATGAGTCATTTGAGGCAGGCTTGCTATATAGTATAATTTTTAGTTGAGTTTTTAACAATTTTTATGTGATTAGTCAAACTTTTTGTTGATGTTGTTGTTGTTGTTAAATTTATTAAAAAATCATAAAGCGTTACAACAATTATAAAGTTGAAAATTTTATTTGAATATTTTCCTATTATATAATATAATATATAATTTATATATAGCATATAATTTATATGTTATTCCCCCTTGGGTTGCAGGAATCATATATTTTCAAATTTTAGTCTTTACAGTTTAGGTTTTCCAAATTTAACAACAGTTTTAACATTTTCTCTAACTATAGTCTGTTGTGACCAAACATTATTTTTATGACATTTGGTTTTTTATATTCTATACATATTTTTTATTATATTTGTATTATTGTAAATATGTTTTTATGTAGTTGAATGAGTTTGTAAAAATAGTGAAAATACTACTTCTAAAATAACAATTTCGCTTTTTAAAGCGTGGCTTTAAGGAAGATAAAATATTTTCATTGAAGAAATTTTTGCAGAATTTATTTTTACAAATTTGAATACAAATAGTAATAATAAATTTGCAAAAGTTGTATTTTATGTGTAAATATTTTATTCATTTTTTTTTTAAATTATTCTCACAATGTACATATATGTATGCAGGATTTATTGTTATCGCTCATTTATAATAAATGTGTCTTTATTTTAGATATATGTATAAATATTTAAAAATATTTTTTACTAATTTGATTATTTTGTATATAAATTTACAAATAAAAAAATCTTTTAAAATGTACTATGAAAAATATATTTTTTTAGTTCAGTCAGACTTTTTTAACCAATTAAATTTATGGAAAATGGATTTTATTACTCCAGCAGAAACAGTTATCCAAACTTTTTATGCCAGTCAAAATCAAGAAGAACGACATATTGCTCACAAATGGCTTCTAGATTTACAAAATTCTTCAGATGGTTGGAATGTTGCTTGGATGCTTTTAGATCATCTGAAGTCTGTAGAAGTACAGTATTACGGTGCTATTATATTGCATTCAAAATTAACAAGTACATCAGAAAAGCTTGATTCATCTGAACTTAACTCTAAACTTTTAAATGCTCTTATTTTATATTCATCTGGGACAAGTAAAGTTGTATTTACTAAACTTTGTAGTGCTTACGCATCTTTTATTCTCCGAACTGCTGGACATGATTTTGATCTTCAACACTGTTTAGAGTCCATTCAAAAACAATGTGCAAACAAAGGAGTTGATTCTCAGTCTCTAGTTCTTGAACTTCTAACTTGTTTACCTATTGAATTCAAGCAAGTTACCTTAACTTCTAGCCAAAAGATTAATTCTAAGCATATGCTTTTACAGTTCAAAGCTGTTTTAGTTGGGATGTGTCAGCATGTTTTATGTAAAAATATTGACTACAATTATCAGTTAAATGTTTTAAGTTGCCTTATTAATTGGATCGAGTTTGGTGTTTCCATACTAGATGCCTCCAATTTGCTTCCAATTTTATTTTCAAAGATAGCTTGTGTGCCTCTTTCTGATAAAATACTTGATGTTTTAATTGAGTTTGTTACATCACCTGCTAGTTTCTCTTGTGAAAATACTATTTTTTCTATTTTAATGCATATTAATCAATTAGAGGATTATATTGAAAGTGCTATACTGGAAGACAACCATGAGCTTTTAAAAAAAATTTCAATGTTACTTATAAATTTTGGAGAAACTCACTGCTCTACCCTTTTAAAAGCTACAGATGTTCTCAAACAAAATAATGTGTTGAAGCTCATTCAAATCATTTTAAAATTTACATCTGCAAAAGGAATTTATCCTGTGGATGAAACCCATAGTGAGTTAACTTTTAATTTTTGGTACACTCTGCAAGAGTCATTACTTTCATTAGATGTTGAGTCAATATCAGATTATCAAAAACAGTTTTATGAAGCATTTGTCATGTTAGTTGAAGTATTTTTGCTAAAATCTCAGTATCCAAGTGACGAAATTTACCAAAGTTTTTCTGCTGATGATAAAGAGCAATTTCGTTGTTACCGCATTGACATACAAGATACTATGCTTTATGTATACACACTACTACAAGAAAGGTGCCTTGCCTTGCTGGTTCAGAAGTTGTCAAAGCTGCTATCAGGTTTAAATTTATCTGTTTATAAAAGAAAAGTTATTCTACGAAAATATTTTAAAAACCAAGCAAAATCAATTAGAAAATACAATTTTTTTCTTTTAATATTTGAATTATTATTTTCTTTTGTTTTTTTAATACCAATAATCATCAGCAGGCTATAAGCCCATATAGTGATGTAGCCCTGTTCCTAAGTTTTATTGAGCTTTATTTTGCTTTATATACTTTATTTAGGATGCAGCTCTATACTTCATTTTGTTAAATCTTTTAATGTAGTAAATAAGTGACTCGTTGCTGCATTTAGGCATTATGTGACAAGTGATAGATAGGTCAAAATTTAGTTTTTAACATGTGTATATAGAACAAAAGAGTTCCTAACAAAATCTTGAAAAAATTTGCTTTATAGAAATTTTCCTGTTCCCTCTTATTTGCTTATCTTTTTTTTACGCTTTAGTAATTTTGCGGAAGTGTTATTGAAGTATCATTTAAAAAAAAAATTACAAATAGAGCTATTTTGAAATTCTGCAATACTTCTTGATTAAAGTAATAAGTGAACTTTTCTGTCTATTAGGTAATTTACTGAAAAATGTTTTGAAAAGCTTTTTTGTTAGCAATTAGTAGTTTGCATATAATTTGTGTGAATTTAAATTTTTAATAAATTTTATGATATAGTGTTAAAATTATCTTTATTATTATTGTTGTTTTATTTTATTTACAATTTAGAAGCGTCATCTTGTTGGCAGGAATTTGAAGCCATATTTCTTATTCTTCAGGGTACATCAGAATCTATTAGTCTTGATGAATGTGTTTACATACCAAATATATTATTAATGCTAGCTCACATCCCTCATCATCCAAAAATACTTGACACACTTGTACTCTTTCTTGGTTCATTATCAGAATGGCTTAATGCCCACCCTGAAAATATAAAAGTGGTTTTGCCATTTTTATTAAAAGGTTTTGAAAGTACTGAAACCATTACTTCTTGTAGTATTTCATTAAAAGACATTTGTCGAGAATGTTCTATACTGATGGATGAACCAACCAAATCTGCTATACTGCAAGTATGTTTTAATAGCATCCAGGTTAGAAGCTCAAAAAAGTTAGTATCAAGGTTGTTTGAAATTGTTGGGTATGTTTTATCAGGACTACAATCTACTTTAATGAAGGAGCAAGTTGAATGCTTTGTCTCACCTTTATTTCAGAGGTTGCAAGAATTATTTAAAAATTCAGAGGTTTCAAAAGAATCTGGTGGCAAATTGGTATATTATCTAAATCTTTTTCATGCCCTGTTTCGTTCTATTGATCCATACGAGGTACAAAGTGTTCACCCAGTTAGCTTAGTATTTGGTCAATTAGTACAATTGTTTTGCTGGATGAAACCATGGTTTTTTATTGAAGATGTTGTTAAAGCATCAACCGATTGCATTGCAAAATCGTTTGAAGTTGTGCGTGAGAATTTATTGTCGTATGTCCCCATTACATGTGACATCTTGCTAGAAATGTTTGATACACATCCATTTAGCTGTATATTAGAAACAAGTACAATTATAATTGGAATGTTTGGAAATGATGGTGAAACTAAAGAGAAAGTCTATACATTGTTTGTAATGTTAGCTGATAAAGTGTTATTTTTGATAAAGACGGGAGAAAGTTGCAACTTTCCCGATCTGATGCAAAGTTTTGCAGTTCTTATAACGCGAGTTATAAAAACAGTACCACAATTACTGTTTGATAACGATGAAAGACATTTTAAAATATATCAAAGCGCATTATCGTTACTTTGTCACCAGGAAACTCCAACTATAAAAAGCACTTGCAATTTTTTTGTTTCTTACATTAATATTTCTAGTTCTTATGAAAAACCAAGAAATCTTATAAAATCCGCTGGTTTTGAATTGCTAAAAGTCACCCTATTATGCATTGGGGGAATTTCTCCACGACACACCTGTGATAACTTTGCCGATGTGATATTAGCTCTAAATAAAAAATATGTAACAGATTTAGCTATTTGGTTTAACGAGTTATTTAGCTTGCCTAATTTCCCAACCGACTTACCTTCTAAAATACAAAAAGATCATTTTCAAAAAGCAGTACTTAGAGAGAAATCTAATAAGCGACATATTAAAGAAATAGTTAATGCATTTTCTTTATTGTGTCGGGGACTACAAATAACAACGCATGTACCATAACGTTTATATTCATATTACGTATTTTATATATATATATATATATATATATATATATATATATATATATATATATATATATATATATATATATATAAATATATATATATATATATATGTATATATATATATATATATGTGACAGTTCATGATAAAGGCGCTTTAATAAAGTATACTTTTAATCCATTAATATGTGTAAATTATAAAACGATATTGAATATTTAAGAATATTTGTAGGGGGTAAGACCCTTTTATTTTAGAATTTTTAATTACTTGATAAGCATCTATTTTAATAAAAAAACAACCTAATGTATTTTCTTAAACGTTTTTAAAAACTATTTTTTACAGTATTTTTTAAAATAAAGTCATTATTATTTGTGAAATCTTCATTCAGTTCACATAAGATTTTGAAGAATTAAGGCTACTTACGCTGAAAAACAATTTAAGGGTAAGGTTACTTACCCTAAAAAGTATTTTCTATTTTTATTAGAGGTGTACCGGATATAGCATTTTACGTATCCGGCCGGATACGGATGCCGGATTCGAAATTTCATATCCGGCCGGATATGCCGGATATACCGGATATATTGAAAATTAAGATAGGATTTAGTTTTGATGTTTGTTTTTAGTCAAATTGGGAAAGTACAAAATAGCGTGTAAATCCACAAAAAAAAAAAAATATATATATATAATATATATATATATATATATATATATATATATATATATATATATATATATATATATATATATATATATATATATATATATATATATATATATATTTTTTTTTTGTGAATTTACACAAAAATTGGATTGCATAATTGGATTATCTGTTTTTATTGTAGTTTGAAAATTTATTAACAATTAATTACGTAGCAATAACTTTAAAATTAGGTTGCTATCTAAATTTCCAAACTATGTATTATTACTTTAATTTTTTTGTTATGTTTTTTTTATTGTTTTCTTTACAATGTAACAATGCATTTGGAATCTAACAATGTTTACATTGAAAGTTAACAATGCAATATTAATTTCAATGTAGTATTTATACACTGTATAGATCTCAAAATTACCATCTGTATAATACAGATAAATATCTTGGTATCAAATGTATGTGTATAATTATTATACACATACATTTGATACCAAGATATTTATTAAATATTTAACTATTATACTAAAATAGTTAAATATTTAAAGTCAATTGTGAACACGTTTAGTTTTATATTTCAGACACATAATAATGCAGAGCTTTATCTGGTCATTGTATAAAATAAATGATGCAAGTGATGTGTATGCAAACTGTAATATCTGTAAAAAAATGATTAAACGTGGAACTATGGAGGCTGGGCAAAAATGTTTTAGTACAACACCTCTGCATAACCACATCAAAATAAATCATCCAAAAGAATATCATATAGAACGAAATAAAAATGAACAGAAAAGAAAAGCTCAGGCTGTCAATAAAATCACACCAGAATTTTTTTCAACTAGTACTACAGTAAAAAAAGAGACTGTTTCGGAAACTTCTAAACAAACTTCAATAGATGAATATTTAAAGTCACAAAAGGTATGGAGCATTAATGACTCTAGGTCGCAAACTATTCATCGTAAAATTGGGTTGATGATGGCCTTAGACAAACAGCCATTTACTTTAGTTGAAGATACAGGTTTTAATAACTTAATGAACCATTTAGAACCCAGATATTGCATGCCAAGTAGAAATTTTTTTTCTAAAACAATAATACCTCAACTTTACATGGAGCTAAATAATAAAATTTCTGATAAATTAATAAAAACAGATTACATAAGCTTTTCTTCAGATATGGACATGCCCAATTTCTCATGAATCATTTATTTCATTGTCTAGCCACTCCATCGATAAAGATTTTAACAGATTTGATGTGGTATTACATGCTTCTCATTTTCCTGAAAGCCATACTGGAATAAACATATCCAAAAAGTTAGAAAGTATGTGGGATAGCTGGAAAATTCAAGCTGAAAGACGACATATTCTTGTAAGAGATGGTGCAAGCAACATGATAAGTGGAGTAATCTAGCTGAAATTCCCACAATCCATTGTACTATTCATTTACTTCAATTAGTTGTTTCAGATTCAATAAGTGAAAATATTGTAATTGATATTCTTTCAAAATGTCGTCGACTTGTAACTCATTTTAACCATTCATCTCTAGCACGTAACAACTTTAAACAAATTCAGCTGCAACAAAATCTCGACCCTCTTTGTCTTGTTCAAGATGTCCCAACAAGATGGAACAGCACTTATCTTATGCTTGATAGATTAAACAAGTTAAAAATTCCAGTTCAACTATACTTAGCAGAACGTTCTGATTTAATGCCCTTTTCTACATTAGAATGGACATTAATATTAAACATTATTAAACTGTTAAAGCCTTTTTTCCAATTAACTCAGGAAATGAGTTCAGAAATAACAACTTTGTCTTCTGTAATTCCAAATATGTGCTCATTGAAGAAATTTATTTCAAAATGTCAAGTTGATTTAAGTATTCAAGAAACAAAGAATTGGCTTACAACTTCTTTAAAAAATCGATTTTTTTCTGAAATAAATGATGCGAAGTCTTTAAACATTTTGAAAAATAGGTACTATGTCATAGCTACTTCAATTGATCCAAGATATAAGTTTTCTTTCTTTGAGGATGATATCAAAAAACAGGCTAAGTACTGATTAATAAATGAAATTTTATCCTTTGAAAAAACTCTTGTTTGTTCTGAAGAAGTAGATTTTAGTGTAAATGAAGAACCATCACAATTGAATTTTTCAATTAATACTGAAAAAGAAGAAACTCTTGAAGCATGTTTCAAAGAAATTATAAATGCAACATCTGAAAAAACATTACCTTTTAAAAAATTAAAGTTAGAGAAAAAATCAAATGAGGTTTTAATTAGAAAAAAAATTAAAAAGTTTTATTCTGAACCACTTGTAGACAGAAAACTCTGTCCAATAAAGACCTGGATGCAAGAAGAACGATTCCCTCTTTTAAAAACAATTGCTTCAAAACATCTATGCACTCCTGCATCATCCATATTTTCTGAAAGATTGTTCTCAGAATATGATAATATCTATGAGAAAAAGAGATCTAGGTTATTGCCTAAAACAGGAGAAATGCTTTTGTTTATTCACCATAATGGGAGGAAAATAGAATGACTCTTTGCATTTACTCATTTGTTGAAATTTTATTTGTTATGTTCTTTGGTAGTATTATTAACTTTCTAAAACATTTTGTTTCATTGAATTTAATAATTTGATTTAAGAGGCATTCATAAAGTATGTATGCAGGTATGGGAGGCGACATTATCTAAAAATGTTTAAATATTATCTAAAAGTGTACAAGTGTGTATAAGGGGTAGGGACAAGAGGGCAAATATGCAAAGTAAGGGCAAGGTCCAGGCAGCAAATATGTACATAGTTGGGCCATCTTTTTCATGAATTTTACTCCAAAATTTTTTTCAAAATTTTTATTTTAAACAAAGACAATTTATTGAGTGAAAAAATCTATAACAAAATATCAAAAAAGAAAAAAAAAAAAAAAGTTTATGATGAAATTTCAAAAAAATATAATAAAAGCAAAAAAAAAATTTAAACATTTTATTTTGATAGAAAATTTTTTTGCAAAACAAATTTTTTAAATTCTCAATTTCGATCATTTTAAATCTTAAAAAAATTGTTGGAAAGTTTTGACTGTGTTTTTACCCCTCTCCAAATTGAAGGGGTAATAACTTAAACATGGTCATAACTTTGGAACATAAATTAATTGATGAAATTTAAAACCTATTGATGAATTTAGCTAGAGTATTAGATAGTGTAATGAAATAACTAAATGATTTCCCTTGCATTTGGGATAGGTGGTTGAGAAAATAACCTCTAAGGTTATTTTTGTTCCCAAGCTCTAATTACCATGATTTTTTGATGCAAAACACTTTCATTCTATGGAAGCATAAAAAACTTAAGTTTAGAGTTTGCACAAAGCTTGATAATGTCATATCTGAGACTTTTAAAAACATCATGTTAGAGCCCATTTAGCAGCGTGTCGGTAAACCATTTTGATTTAGAGTTCTCAAAATTAAATTTCTACTTAAAAGATAAATTACCCTCCCCTAAAAAAATGTATTTATTAAATAATTCTTAATAGTTTTTCAAACCTCTTTGAACGTTCGCTGCTCGGAATCAAATTTTTAGTTGAAGACTTGTTCAAACGCCCTTCATAATAACACCAGAACTTAACAGCATAAAGCATTATCCGGTATATCCGGCCGGATATAGTATATATCCGGCCAGATACCAGATAGTAAATTATCCGGTATTTTTAACCGGATATCCGGCCAGATATTGTATCCGGTACACCTCTCATTTTTATGATTTAAAAGTTATTTATAAAAAAAATGCTTTAGCATAAAGTGTTTTTTTAATGACATTGATATTTATGTCTAAAAGCATGCTAATTTTTTAAGCGTTTAGCAATAGCAAAACCATGGGTATAAGGCTTTTTTATATACTAATTGCTAAAGAAACTAAGAATCATCGGTAAAATATAAAGTGAATGATTTAAAAAATGGAAAAGCCCCCGACATGTAATTTATAAATCTTAATAAACATTATGTGTAAAATTGATCACAGTTTTAACTTCTTTGTAGCTTTTAAGTTAATTATGTAAATAAAAATAAT